ACGTCACACATTTTTGCTGCCCTCTGTGCCTTGATAAACAATGTTTAAGGTCAGTGCATCCACATGGGACAGCCGTAGGACACGCCCTCGTCACAACATTCACGAATCCAAACGCGCGGTCATCATCCACTGTTTATTCCACATCCCTCAGTCACTTACTTCACTACCTACTGATTAATCCAGTTTCCTTATCAATAACCAATTCAACTATCCACAATCTCCATTGATTAAGCACTGAATAATACAAATCCTTCACTATTTACCCAATAATACCCCACTTTTCGCCCCAATCCTGTCCTCTCCCTTACCCCTTCGCCCATTGCTCACGGACGCCCCCATGCGACGAAGTTTTACGGTAATTTCGACCCTTATTTTCTTTCGACTGGCCTCTTGGCAATCACAGAAGAGATACAGTTCACAGATGCAAATTGTCTTAACTAAGCAGCATCTGCTTCTACTCCTTCGATCTTTTAATACAGGCCAGCGAGAGACCTTCATTAGCCGTATTTTTCTCCTGATGTCGAAGTTTTACATCTCGAAAAAGAATAGTAACATCTGAAATATACTGTATATACGCAATGACTCGCATACACACATACACTTAATTCCTTTCATTCCCTCAGCGTCTCACGAAAGGAGCAAAGGAGCACCTTCTTCCCGCAAACTGCATCTTCATCAAAGGAGACCACTCATCAAAGACGTTCTCACGCGCATCTCGTCGTTTAACACACACAAATACACCAAGTAATTCTCCCTCTCTCTTCTAGTTTGTTCCTCTCATTTTCTTTTGTTTCTGCCTCTCAGTCTAACTCAAACAGCAAACACACACCACCACGACCTCAAAGTAATTTCTACTAGAAAACCGCAGAAGTATATTACACACCGAGTATCATAACATTATACAATGACTCAACACACTGTGCTGCAGAAACCCACCAGCCCCAATTAATTAACTCATCAACTCCGATAATCATATGGCCAATTACATTTTTTCTTATCAACATGATCCATTCTCATTCAAACATTTCCTTTTTTCAAAATCTAAAAACATTAAATCCACAGAGGCATCCGTGTTGCCAAGGCACAACCAATGCCCTGTAAGCCTCAATGGCAGCCTTAGACTTAAACCAAGAACTTCCTAAGTCATTTCTTTCACCCAGGTACTTGAGTCATTTCTTTCACCCGGGTACTTGCTTCCAACCAACCTGGGCACAGACACGGTCCACCCAAGCCGTAACATTTCCAAGGCCATTAAGCGACCGCTTCCATTTGGGCGATTGCAACCCGGCGTTACGCAATCCATCGCCGCGGGAGAGCGTCTCCGGTGTCATCACAATACAATTCATGTCCCGATCATGTTTCTCTGACATTAACAGTCGTGGAGTCTGGGTTTCGACATGATTCTTTGTTTACGGATTATTTTTCTTTGTTCTAAGTTTTGAAGTTGAAATGTTAATATCATCTTCACAGCCGAAACTTTACATTACTCGGTGAAAAAATACATATAGGTAAATAAACAAAACTGCTTTTGCCTCTTTACCGGTCTATCTGTTTGTCTGTCAATGTCGACAGAAATCCTACTTCTTTGGCGACCAAATACCCACATATAGCACTATCTGATAACCTGCCTACCTACTTGCCCGTTTAGTGTCCCGCCAGGCGCCCGAGAGCCTCCGTGCCTTCCGGATTTTCCATAGACCAATTTCTCCAATATGCATGATCATATCAGTTCAAGCCACGTCGAATTGTCCGTGTCACTTATACATGCTGTGTTCTACTCACGGATGTAAATTTTGCAGGTACCCGTCCTCCCTTTTTCCTCCCTCACGCTTTCCCTCCCTCCCTTCCTCCTGAAAAACAAGCAAGTCATAATGCCATAAATACCAAAGCGGACTGCATACGCTCGTGCCTGGCACAGCTCCTCTCCCCTTCTATACATAGATTCGAAACGATTTTATCAGAGGCAATTTCAGCTTTCGTTTCGGTCAATACCAATATTCTTGCAACGACACAAGAGAAACCTAAATACAGCGACGGCAACAAACGAGGAAAAGCCCCAAGCAACCAAACAAGCAAGCCAGCCACAAGAGCAGCAAGCACCTTCAGCGAGCAGGCGCGGGACCGCTTGTACCACGATCAGCAAGAACAGCGTGACATTTCGCTCCACCCCTCCCCTACCCGGTTCCCCTCTTTCTCCCCCTCCGAAAAAAGTTCACCAGGAAGTGGACAGCCCCCCCCCCCTCCCCTGCTCTCAACAGTTGCAGCGTCACCGTCACCCTGGCTCGTTATCGCTGCCGAGCGGCGAGGCCCGTCATTTCGCCGCAGCCGAGACCGGCGCGACGCCCCGCGCGGCGCTCAACCCGGCAATCAGCCGCGCGAACAACGGTGCCGGCCGGAAGGAGACGCCGACAGCGCGGGCGACAGACACCTGCAGAAAGCCACAGACAGCAAACCATAAGCGGCTGCAACAAATGTATCCAGCAACTACAGCAGGACGACAGGAATAAACTGCAACAAACCGCGGGCAACAAATACTACTGCGACAGTGACAACGGCTCCCCACTTTCCATCCTAATTCGCGCCCTTTCCTTCGAACGGCACCGTCTGCGTAGCACTGAGGGCCATGATCAGTGCTCCAAAGATCGGCGGATGGAGAGAAAACGAAGGAAATGATGAGAGGAAGTGAAGGGAAAGGAAAATCTACGGAGGTGCTGCGCGAGGGGGGGGGGGGATAAAGGGAAGGAAAATAAACACAAGGAAATTCTCAGGAAAGAGAGGAGACAATGCAACCGGCGGGGAGGCAGAAGGGGACGAAGATCGACTGTGTTTCCGGGTGTGATGCAACTTTTTGTTCTCCACTGAGGGTAAAGGCTTCGCAGAAATAAAATAATCAATAACTCCTATCTCATGACCCTCTTTTTGTGCTTGCTTCTCCTCACACTCACTCTCCCTCTCTCTCTCCCTCACTCACACACTTTCTCTCTAAATTTCTCTCTTCGTAAATTTGCTCTTTTATATCCTCTTCCTCAATTCTGCCACAATGACAAGACTACGTATCGTTTATCAATGCTTTTTACAGCAAATGTGATCATATGATGTCAATTTGATAGTATGATGTGTAAAAAGTAAAAGAAAAATGTCAAATACTCTGGCATGACAGTTACTAGACTTTCTCCGCTTGTTATTTTCGAAAACCGGCCGGGGCGTGTGGGCGGTATCCCCCCCCCCCCCCCCAACGAACAGTCTCAAAAACCCTCCTCCGTTCCATTCGCGCAGCGTCCTCCTGCCAGTAGCCGCGCTTCTTATTCGGGCGGTGGTTTATTTTCACGGATCCACGGACGTCGAGGGGCCGCCTTAAAACATGGCACCCTCTGTCCGCCACGGCATGCCGGTCACCCGATCCCTCGGCCGCCCGCACGCCCACTTGCATCCACTGAGAGCCGCCCCCATGGCTCTCCATCCAAGTCATCAACTTTTCAAATGATCAATCTGCTCTTCGGGTCATCAGATACGTCCCGGATAACGCCGTCGTCGCTGCGCTTTTGCCAACGCTGATTTCCTTTCTGCAAAAGGCCGATGGTTGGCGCAGGGACGAGGGCGCGAGGGACGCCGCCCACGCCACAGCTCACGGAGGCTCTGATTCAGATTTAGGAAGGGAGAGAGGAGAGAGGGAGGGAGGGAGGGAGGGAGGGAGAGGGGAGGGAGAGAGGGAGGGTTTGAGGGAGGGAGAGGGAGGGAGGAGGGGGAGAGGGGAGGGAGGGGGAGAGGGGGAGGGAGAGGGGAGGGAGGGAGAGGGAGAGGGAGAGGGAGGAGAGAGAGAGAGAGAGAGAGAGAGAGAGAGAGAGAGAGAGAGAGAGTGGCATCCCGATGAGGTCCTTACACCTCGAGTGCCTCTCCTCATGCCTCCGCTACTCCTCGCTACTCCTGGCCCTCTCGCCGCCCGTCACACGTCTCCGGCAGCGCATCGCCCGAGGACCTTATTAAATTCCGTCCGAACGGAGATCGATGAGGTCGCCGTCGGAGGAAGCCGCACGGAACAGGGAGCTGCAGGCTCGCCATGGCACCCCGGCAAAGCAGTCGAACAAGCGGCCATAATATAACCAGCAAGCAGCTGGAATGAGCATCATCACTGCTTAATCAGCAGAGGACCGCTATCGTACTTCTGTCATAATAATTATCACGGTGATCTTTATCTTTTTTTCTTCAGGATGAGGGGCTATCAATAGCATCACCACCACGAACACCAGACGCAACACCACTCGCTCGACCCCTCGCCCTCACCCCCGCCATGCATAACCCAAGCCCGGTGTGATCAAAGGCCCCTCCCCCTCCCCTCTCCCCGCGCCCCTCCGGCATTCGAGATGCTCGCAGCCCTGAGTGCATCTCGCCATTGTTAGCCTCCGCCCTCGCCCTGTCCCGTCCCCAGCCCCCGTATCCACCCTGTGCCCTCTCCCTTCCCCCCTCGCCTACCTGTCGCCTGCTCCCCTGCCGCCTGCCCTTCGCACACCTGCATTGTTGCTCTTTTATCTCACTCTCTTGATTATTCTCACTTGTATTGTTCATTTAATTTGTTCTTTAGTACTTTTACATCAAATCTGAAGTAATTATGATATATCCAAACAAATAGATAAAGTGTGAAAGGGAGTCATACAAGAGAGAGAGAGAGAGAGAGAGAGAGAGAGAGAGAGAGAGAGAGAGAGAGAGAGAGAGAAGAGAGAGAGAGAGAGAGAGAGAGAGAGAGAGAGAACGACTAAGAACGAGAAATTACAAAAGCACGCTATAAATCCGGAAACAAGAGCCCAAGCGCCCACCTCGCCTCCCT